GAATGAAGTTGATGATGACCAACCATTGGAAGGTTGTTATGTACCAATTGTTGAAGAGAACGAAGGAGCGGAGCCTGAAGTTGTTTGGTCAGATCAATTTTTTGAAGACAATGCTGAAGAGTTGTGGTCACAGTATGAGGAAAGCTTACAATATCACTATGATGCGAATCCAAATGTCGGTGCTATGAGTGAGGGAGTGGAGGAAGTTGTAGTTGAAGATGTCAATGAAGAGCAAAGTGGGGAGAGGAGGTTGAAAGGTTGGTAGAATCTGATTACGAGATGGAGCATGAGCCAGTAGCTATTGGTGAAGCAGGTAGTCAACGGGTTAATTTTGGTTTCAGATTTGGTGTATCAGATGCGCAGCAAGTTAGGGATTCAGATACTGATTATGGAGACTCCGATGAATTAAAAAGTATTCAAAGTGAAGATGAGTGTACAACTTCAAGAAACAGAGCTTTTAATGATGCTTTCAATGTGAGGACAGTTATGGAGGATCCAGAGTTTAGAATAGGTTGGTTGAAGATTTTCTTTACTACAAATTAAATGTATTTTGTAATTTATTTTATAGAATCAAAGGCCCTAATATTTTTTTATCATGCAGGTTTGGTATTCGAGTCGAAGGCTATCTTGAAGGCTGCAATCACTGCACATTCAGTTAAGAAAAATCGAGAGATCAAATACAAGAAGGATGATGCATACAGACTGAGAGCCATATGTAAGGGGGATTTTCCGTGGTTGTTATATGCTACAAAAGAGCATAACAAGACAAGCTTTGTGATTAAAACTTTTATCGAAGAGCATACTTGCCCTATGGTGTATAGGAACTTCAGAGTGAGCTCAACCTACCTGGCTGATAGGTACTTATCCGATTGGAGGGCTGAACCAAACGTGTCAGTTAGTACATTCATGGAGAGGGTGAAAAAGGATGGTTTGGGTGATATCTCCCCTTAGCAAGTGTACAGAGCAAAGGAGAAAGCACTTGAAAAAATTCGAGGTAGTGTGATTGAGCATTACAGAGTACTATGGGATTATTGTGAGGAGTTGAAAAGAACAAACATTGGAACAACTGCTTTAGTTGAGGGATATGTCGGTGAATTCAGACGACTGTACATTTGCCTTGGAGCATTGAGGGACGGTTTCATTAGGGGCTGTAGAAGGTTGATTGGGTTAGATGGTTGCTTTTTGAAGACAGAGCATGGTGGGCAGTTATTATCTGCAGTTGGTGTGGATGCTAATAATGGTATGTACCCAGTGGCGTATGCAGTTGTTGAGGTTGAGAACAGGGATAACTGGAGATGGTTTTTGGGGTTGTTAAAGGACGATTTACATATAAACAACAGTCAGCATTGGACATTTATTTCTGATAAGCAGAAGGGGTTGGTTAATGCAATTGAGTCTTTGTTCGAGAATTCGGAGCATAGAACATGTGTTAGACATATATACAATAATTTTAGTGCCTCACACAAGGGATTGGCTTTGAAGAATTGTCTGTGGGATGCAGCCAGAGCAACTACTGTATTGCAGTGGGTTCACCACATGCAGCGGATGTTAGACATAGACCAGGGTGCGTATGAATGGCTTGAATCAAAACCAGCATCTCATTGGAGTAAATCCCATTTCAGAGAGGGAAACAAATGTGACATGCTTCTCAACAATTTATGTGAATCATTTAATAGTACAATTGTCAATGCAAGAGAGAAGCCCATTTTGACCATGCTAGAGGAGATTCG